AAAAAAAAAAAAGAAGAAGAAGAAGAAGAAGAAAATGATCAGACCACCTCCTACACTTTCTAACCTCGAAGTCTCTTTCCAGATGGTTCGTGAACCAGCGGCGACAACAACAAGTCGTCTAGACAAGTCGTGGCACGAGCTTTCTTGGCTGGAACCACCGTAGCGAAGTTTTATCCGCGGTCTCACCCTCCGCAAAGAGATCCTTGTGGGGGCGAGATTGCCACGCCTCCCGCGTCTATATAAGCTACCGGTTCGACGTGGGAACCTCACTTGCACCCCGGCCACGGTCAGGAAACGGTACAAAGGCGACACATCAACCACACGAATCTGCTCCTTCAATCTGCCATCCCGGACATACTGATATCGATAACTTTGGTCGTACCATTCGAGAGGAGGGTGACAATGAAGTTCGGCCTGTTCTGGTTGGTCTGCTTGTTGGTCGTCCTCGCCGACAGGACCCTTGGTAGCCCCTATGTCGACGACGGTGAGTGGAAAGGATTTCATTTATCATTCGTTTGTTTGAATTATTCACCATTTGTGAGTGGACGCGAGTTTGATTGTAATTCTGGAGGCAACTGAGGACAAGACGAAGATTGTGGAGATTTTATTTGAAACGATGCCTGTGAGCTTGAAGGCTTGAAAGGCTCGTAGAGGATAGAATGAAAGACACTTTGTCTAGATTTAATAATCTTTCGGGGTGCATGCAAGTGCGACTTGAGGAGAGGAATTATATAGTTTAAGAATGGATATCATTTCTTGTTCTCTACGTGAGACGAATTGAAAGTAGATCGTGAATGAATTGGAAGTTTTTCTGAAGGTCGTGGCAGATAGATGTTTGGATTGCGGATTTTTATGCGCGGAACTATAAAATTCGATAGATATATATATAAAATATCCGTGTTTCCTTCTTTCAGCTGTATTCAGAAATATTTGACATCCACATAAACGTCCGCAGTTTAGCGATAATTACGTTACGGAATCGTTGGCTGAAACTTCGAGCAGACTGAAATAGAAATTGAAATGAAATAGACATTGAAACAAAAATTTTAAACAGTGAAGCTGCTCTTGAACAATTTTAGTTCCGAATCTTTCTACACGTATATTCAAGTATATAAATATCTCTGTTAACGACTGAAATTGAAGTTAGTTACAATATTTAAATATTATTGCTATTATCGTAGGCTTTGAAGTTTGTAGTTCTTTTTAAAAATAAATTCAAATGATATCGATAACAACGAGACGTAATAAAAATTTCATGCAAATGATATTATTTTTATACTCGTGTTCGATTTATTATATCCAAATATTTATGCTCTTTTACATCGCA